TGGTGGAATGTACAGGAATGGATGACTCAGTGCCACAATACTTAGAAAAATTTTGTCTGTTGTCAGGTAAGGCTGCATCCAGTTTGATGCATAACAGTGAGTGCTGAAAAGAGTCATTTGAGGTAATCTAAAAATTTAACATCCTAGAACATTAAGTAATAATAGGCAGTAAAGATATCCCCTATTCTAAACAAAACTAGAAGTGTACTTCCAGAGCAAATGTTCAGATTATCCTTTAAAAACTAATGGGCTAGACAGGAAAAATCACAGGTCACGATGATCGTGACAACTCAAAGTGTGACTCCCATGCGTTTTTTAAAACGCAGCCTACAGTAAAGCAAATATATTCTTTAAGCTAAAAACAAACAAAAAATCCTAATGGTACTAGATCAAACCTGCCATTCTGACTTTATCTGTGGAGACAGAACATCTGGTGTGCTTCTGGCTACACAGGTCCTGTTCAGAGCAACACTACTGAGACTATGAACCAATTCCTACACCTTCAAACCAAACATAAATGCAAGAATTAGTTAGCTTATAATCCTACATAAAAAAAAAAAACAGAAAAAACAAGCTGCTTAGGTTACTATAATCACAGCCAATCAAGTCACAGACTTGAGAGTCTCTGGAACTAAACTTACATCTTCATAAGAGAAACTTCATATTTTATTTTTTTAAGTAGCCTCAATCAAGATGCAAAATCTAAAAGTTGAGAAGAAATTACTTGCATCTGTATCAGCTACCAGAAAAACATTACTACATCAGTTCAATATTTTCTTTATTCACAACAGCTACTACAATACAAGACTTCATCCGTATCCAGGTCAAAGGCTCATAGAGCAGAAGCATTTTTCTTAGTGTGGTGGTGGTTCTGTAAAAGAATGAATACATATGTAAAGAATAAATTTATTAATTCACTGGTAAACTACTACATATTTCAATCCATAAAAAAACACAACAACAACAAAAAAAAACCACACCTCCCCACCCCCACCCCCCAAAACAAAAAAAAACAAAACCACCACGATGTCCTGAAGGAAATAAGCCTGGAAAAAGTCTATGCTAGCATTTGTACAGTTTGTCCACAAAAAAATGATCCACCACTACTTAAAACGCAATCAGACTAAAAGGATTGCTCCTCCTCCCATAAACACATTCAAAAGCAACACATTGAAGCATGGGCTATTGAAACTGCTTTTTAAGTCACTGTTCTTTATTAGGGTTGAGAGGAACTTTTTTATCTCACAACCTACTTGGAGTAGATGCTACAAGAGAAATAACAAGCACTCCTAGATGAGATACAGCATTTAGTGGTCAGAGCGATCATTACTGTACAGAAAATTCACACACTGTTCTGGATGAAGATAAGAAACAGTAGGAATAATCACTAATAATTCTAATATACTGCATGAACAGATGGCCTGAACTATCAAATGTTTTATCAGTCTTACTGTTTTTTACACTGTGATGGACAAAAATGATACATTATAAACTGTGGCTGAGACAATGAGTGTTTCCATCCATCATTTTAGGCTTCTCTTATTCCAACCATGTGACGGAGTTGAATAAAGTTTATGACATCTTGGCAGGGAAGATTCATACAGAAGCTAATATCTAGATTGATTATACAAATACTGCATTTATTCCCCATAAAAGCAAAAAAAAAATGTTAATTTTAAGAAGGGATCTCTATTTCACTTCACTGAACTAGACCACAACAAAATATTTTAGAAGTCCTAGCAGATTATTCATTAAAAAAACCCACAGATCTACATTAACCTTCAGATTGCTGCTGAAACTGCATTTGTTCTCAAGAGGCTGTAAAGTTATTGAAAAGCTGTACGCTGATCCCAAATAAAGGAAATTTCACTTTAAGAAAGCAAGCTAAAAAATCTGATAGAAATACTTCATGTAAGCCACAGACTCCTCTCCCCCCACTCTGAGCAGGCTTGGCACAGCATCCAGGCATGGCCAGCTCTCTGCTGGGGGCAACGTTCTTGGCTGTGAAGGCAAAGCATGCCCTCTGTCACTCATGGCGAGCAGTCCTGTCCAACTGTCTCTTTTCAACAACTTTATCATCAATCTCTTTATTAACAGCTCCACTGCAGACTGAGAACACAAACAAGGACAGTGCGCATGCCAGATTTCTGGAAGGCACACAGCATCAGACACCAGACAGGGCAAGGTTTCAGGAAAGCTGGAGCAGAAGCTGTAGTGCAAAACTCTTACCTGCCATCTTAGGAACTATCATGTTTATTATGTTTACTTAGAATCAAGCTTCCGCTTTTTTCAGCTTTAATAACTGTACCTGCTTTAGGTTAGCCGATACTGTAATGGAAGGGAACAGCACAGAAATAACCTTAGATGAAGAGTTTGAATTGATGTGTAGATTTTAAGCATGTAAAATATCTCCTTAAGTAGCAGTATTGAGAATATTTACTTCTAAAAATACAAACATAAAATGCATGCATAAAGTAAATGTGCTAGCTCACAAATAAGAGACAAAAAGACATTTGGAGTTGTAAGTCCTCCAGTACCTGTGTGGGCCACAGCTATTATGGGGCAGTTTAAATGCATTGGCTACTTTCTTAAATAAATAAATGCAGCTTTCCTTACACAAGAAGTTGGGAGTTTTTATCATTTTACATCAACAGTAATTTTCCTCTTTATCCTTTCCTATTACATGCCTGGATTCTGGCTCTTACTGTAAGACAGTAATTTACAGCAAAAAACAAGCTTGATAATATCTGCATATACCATTAAATGATTTTCTTTCAACAATTAGTATGCTGTTAAATTTGACTTTCTCCTAAATTCAGTATCTTTGGTGGTGATGAGGTAAAAATTTAAGGAAGTGTATAGGACATCATCATTATTAGTTTATTTTAAACATTCCACTGGAATAGAGGTCATAAAAATACTGAGGTAATTGAAGGGGGGAAAAAATGACATGCTGCATTACGAACTGGGATCTGCTTAATTCATTAGGTGTGAGAGGAAGGGGAAAAAAAAAGTTACCTGAATATAGCACTCTAAAATTTAATCAGAACAATACAAATACGCTTAAGCTTAATTAAAAAAAAATAAATATCCAAAGTTTAAATATCCAAAAGGCAGATGGGACATCCAGCAGTAGTTTATTGTATTACCTTTTTCATGACAAAAGATGGCCTCTGAAGTTTCATACCGAAGTTCACGTTCTTTTGGTGATGATAGCAGCAGATTTTTGATGTCTGTAGATACTTCAAATTATTAGCCTGAACTCATCGAGCTGCATCTGCCTCTATCAACAAATCCCAAGATGGTTTGCTCCTTTTGAACAGATCCTTCTACTAAGATTACTGAAGTAACCCAAAAATGATTTAGTACTGATGTTTTTCCAATACAAACATTAGATCTTTAAAAAAAGTGAACCTACCAAATACTCAGCTATGTCTATACAGACATTCATGGATGTACTATCCTAAGGCCTGCATGATTTTAAGTCACAAAATCTCTGGTAGTATCATTCAGCCACAACAATGCCAAAGAGAAATAAAGCACAGCAAAGCTAGCTGACTGGTGTGTTTAGGAAGTCACATAAATAACGCCAGGATTACTTCAACATAAGAAATGCTTTTTGTATAAATACACACAACTTCCAAAGACTACATATTATGAGAAAATATGTATTTTGCCTTGCATTTAAGTACAGATTCTGGCTCAGTAATACCTATACTGAACTATTTTTGGTTATTCTAGAAGCTGAAGAACTCAATTTTAACTTTTATTGTCAATTAAAATCAGTTCTCTTATTAAGGTACATTTACTATCAATTGTTATTTATTACTACACAGTTACTATATATTTAAAAGATTTTGCAGTTAAAAAAAAAAAATGGCACACACAACACACTACCTACAGCAAGAAGGAAGGACAAGTTTAGCTAGAACTCATCAACTCAAATGTGATTCCAATCAGTATGTCTAAAGCCATCTGTTAGAACCATGGCTTATTAATGTTAATTATTTTGGCTACAACAGCAATTTTCAGCTTCTTCTTTGCAGATCCTTATGAGTCCATGAACTTACTTCTGGAGGTTCATGACAGGTAACTCAGAAAAACAAGCCTACTGAAGCCTACCACCAGTAGATCCAGAAACATTGAACAGAAATTTGTATATCTACTAGCAGATTTTTATTGGTCGGAGAAAACAAAAGAGGAATTAAAGCCATAAATAACATCAACTGTGATGAAAGGGAGATGGGGTGGGCAAGATATAAAGATGATGAATCTGTTCTAAACAAGACAAGCAATTGCATGCTGTGAAAAATATATACATCACAAAGGTTTATTGTTTTAGGGCAGGGTAATATGAACACCAAAACTATCAGTGGTTTTAACAATTAAATTTTAGTCAAAAGGAAGGTATTTAAAGTTACTCACATGAAGCATTTGGAGAATTGGGCTCATGCTGATACAAAGATCAATCAAGTGATGCACAGCTACTTCTAATTTTTACTTTTATTTCAGAGCAATCTTAAACTATTTGACAAGAAGAGAAATAGTGCCATCTGCTGACATAAGAAAGAGTCACAAGAAAAGCAAGTGTAAGATGCCAAAACTGTTACAGCCGTGTTTTTGAGAAATGAGCTTCAAGCTTTTTAAATATATAGTACTTCACACTTTTGATACCAAACTATTTTTTTCAGCTTTTAAACATACAAGATTTTTGAGAGGGACTCCTAATCAGCATACAAGGAATGGATGCTCTTAAAATTGGGTATTTTTTGGGCATTAAACTCTGTTCACAACAAGCCACTACACAATCCACAACCTTTCCCTTTTATAGACTGGAACTCAACATTCTGCTGAGCGTTACTTCCACTACCTATAACATCACACTTCTTTAGAGAAGATTTATTTATGTACTCTTTTATGCCACACGGTGTTTTTGTCTTAGCAGAAAACTTAAGAGCTAAATATGAATTGAGAGTGCATTCAGAAAAATCACACAACTATGGGATTGTGCTGTTTTTTATTGTGTTTTCAATGGAGAAATACATCATCTGTTTACAAAATAGCTCTTGAAAAATACAAGGAGTACAGATACTATAAAACAAAGCAAACTCCAGTCATGAGACACTACGTACATCATGCGAAAGCAACAGTCTGATCTCCAGGTTATGAAAACTAGAATTAAAAAGTCACTATACAGAAAGGTTCCAAGTTTCCAGCTTGGCAAAACTTGGGTGCAGTTACATGAAACGTTTAATAAAATGAAAAAGATTTTCTGATGTGTAAACAAAACGACAAGACTAAATTTGTGCCTGGCAATTTCGATCTAAACTCCATAGCTACACAAAATACACAGACACCTTGTACACTTCAACTGTTAATATAACCTTCTTTGGGGGTGGACGACAGCAGGCTGCACAGGGCAAGGAAAAGAGAAATATTGTATACTAGACATCTTAGACAAATGGCAAAAAAAAACCTTCAGTTACTGCACAGCCTAAGTAAAAGATAAGCTACACTCTGACTCTGGAGAATTAATTTAGAAGGATAAGGGGAAGAGTGTAAGTAATTCAATTTTAACATGAAAGATGCACGTGTAAGAGGATGGAGCACAAAGAGAGAAGGAAGTTCATAAAACATGCTAATCAAAGTATGGGAAGTATGATTTGACATCCCACATTCCAGACTTAAGTAACAGTAAAATGAAGTTTGTTATCTACATCTGGTATTACTGTTGGTATCCCTCATGTTCCTTTGCCATGAGAGATTTAGTTCTTTCAAAAAGAAAAAGTTGTTACTTTATTGATAGGACTACAATAACAAAAAAACAGGAGTCTAGAGCTTACTAGATGTCAAGTGCTTACTAGAAATATGATTTTTAAAAATTCAGCATTGTTCAGTATGTAAAACTATTTTTGATGAGCCACCTAAAAATAAAAAGGTTAAAATTCTTCGGGAAAAATCTTTTTGCCTTTATTTAAAATTTGAAGCTTTTTAATGCATACAGGACTTTCATGGAGTGTAGAAAAATCACCTTATATTTAGTGATTCAAAGGCCATCAAGACGGGTGTTGTATTTCACAGGCACACAATATTTACTTAAACACTTTAGTCATGAGACAAAATTCTGAATTTGTGCCTACAGGCCAAAAGGTATTACGACAAGGTAAGGAGCAAGAGGGAATCCAAATGAATACATGGCTTGTTTTTTTTTGTGTAAATAACCACTGTCATACATGGTGCATACAAGCTGGAGAGGAAAGAAAAAAAGACATGAACAAAAAAACCCCACCCACCATTAAACGCAAAAGCTTTTCCCAAGAAATAAAGGGATCAAAAAAAGGTAATAAAGAGTTTGATTAGCTCAAAGGAAAGTTTATTTGCTGTTTCACTGCTGATCTGTATGCACCTTAAAACAATCCTATAAATAAAAAGTAGACCACATCTTAATCATGTCCCAGTCCCACCAATACCAAAACTTCCCAATTACTCCCTCAACTTATGTCTTATAACCTCAACATTTGACATTTCATTCTAAAGGCTTACTGCTGCTTGATGGCAGTTGAACTAGATATACTACACACTTGTTTTCAATGCATAGTATATTGTAGAACATCATCCAATTTGCACTACTGAAGATATTCTTCAATAAAATGAAAGTGTATCAGAGCTAAGATCTAAAATTAGTCATATTCCAATAAAAAAAACTACATAAAAGTGCATTTAAGGGATTCTTATGCCAGTTTTATCTCAATTTTGAAACAATGCATCAAACAAATTCAATCAGAATGTCAAATATGGCTACAAATAGTGTTCATGTTTTTAAAGGCAGTAATCCTTCGAAATACTTAATGCAACTGTTGCTAACACATTAATTGTACTCCTGGCTTCACATACTAACCTGGACTTCCAATCAAGTGGTGATTTTAGCCCAGAAAGGGAAGTGCACAAAATATACCTAAATCCATTTGCAATTATGTTCTAGTCTTGCACTCTCCATTCTCCTTTTTTAATAGGATTAGAAGACAACAGGTTGAGTTGGCAGATATTGTTTATGGACCCCTGAGGTTGTTTTTACCGATTCAATCTCAATTTTATTGAATTCTTGATAACAGGAATAGGATTTGCAGGGAGAGCAGGGATATCTGAAAGGTCTGTACTGGGTGTTTTCTGAAAAGAAAAGAAATGAAGCATTTTAACTTTGTCAGTATCAAAAGAAAAATACTGTAGTAACTGGCATTAACTTTGAAAAACAAGATCTTTAGAAGAGCTTTTTAAAAATATACCAGGATGAGAATCATTACCAATTATAAACACAGAAGCAGATATTTCCTTTGCCTACATAGTCATTACGGAAAATCTGTACCAGTCTTTTCCATAACATGCATTTCTTTTTTCGACAACTGCAAGAAATTAGGAAGTGCAGATATGTCTGAGCCTACTAATAACCTGTATTATAACAAAAAGTAATATCCACAGAATTAGGGTGCTTGGCAGGTGACACCTAGTGTCTGATCTACATGTTTAGCATTTAAAAATTCCTTTGAACAATTCAGTGTTAAGCTTCAGCCCTTTGTAGGTCAAGGATGAAAAACTGTCTCCAGTGCAAAGTGCGCGTCTTCATACATTCCATTTCAGACTGTGCGGAAGCTCTTACAGCCAAATTTCCTACTTTTCTTATCCGTTTAAATTTACATAGAAAAGGTATGATGAATAGTGCTATACGGCTGGGTTAAGAATTCCACCTTGAAAATACTCTGAACACCTAAAAGACTTAAATCCCATTCAGCAAAATTACATCTACAGCCAAATAAAGGAAAAAATAGCAAAGGAACACACCCAATATTCAGTGTGATTCATTGATTTCTCACGTGCTTCTTTATTGCTGGCTGGTGGGTTTGTTTTGTTGTGGGGTTTTTTTTTCTTTGGGGGGGTGGGGGTGGAGATGTGGTGGGTAGAAGTGGGGGTAAACTTTGAAGTATTTCTCTTCCACTGTGGCAGATCAGTTGCCATTCCAATAACCCAGTTATTATGCATTATTTCCCATAATGATTTATCATAAAAGGTTATCTTATAAACACTGAAAATTAGTATGAGGTACATTTGATAAATGGGGGAAAACTGCATTAAAATGACTGCTCTTAATTGTTGTTTTAACAAGTTAACACTAACTGATATGGCAGCAATGCAACCAGGACTTGGGGCAGAACAGCTCTGACCACTTGCCTCCCTCTTGCCCCCAGTAGCCCACTCTGGTTGGTGCTGATCTGTGGTTTACCATGTCTCTATTTTCTGCCACATGACCAGGGCTTCAACCAAACCCAACAATGCTATTCAAAAATGAGAAGAGGCCCACCATTCTTTTGCAGCTCTTTTGCAGATTACTTTTGCTAAAGTAGTAACTACACAATAAATAAAAACTACAAAGCTTCCTATAATCATCCCTCAACAAAGGGTAAGACAAACTCTGTGTACTAACTGATCTAAAAATATCCCTGAAACAGCTTAGTTGGACCATGGAACATCTAGAATTTTTGCCAATTTGGTACTTTTATTCAGTATTGCTCATATAGTTCAAAAAGTCCACTAACAAATGCCACAAATACTATTGCAATGTATCCTATTTTCAATCAAAACATTTACTAGACATCATTTAATAATTCTGCATAAAATGCTTTGCAATAGCATAACTTTAACCAGTAGAGCACTAAGAAGCTTAAAAATGCTAGTAAAGACAAAGATGTGTTCTCTAAAAGTTGTTACAATATTAGGAACAAGAATTTAAGTGAATGCCACACAGACGTCGTAATTTGATCTCTATTTTTCCAATGCTCCTTACACTTACAATACCTGCAGTGAAGAAACACAGGTGGCTAAGGAATTACAAAATTACAATAAATTTTCTCTCTCATACTGAATTTCAGAGCCTAAAGTTACATTTCAAACATTTTCAACCTCTACAGGGATATCTTTGACCAGCAACTGTTTAAAGTATTTTGTTTCCCTGTTAGAAAGGATTATTCTGCGATGTGCAAAGCACAAAGGAATAAACTGAGGCCCTTACTTTGAAGGCACAATTCAGAAGAGCGAATCCAGCTTCAGTCAGTTTGTATGGCAAGCCATACATGTTTAGCTACAATGCACATTCATTAAGATCAATGACCATCTAAAACACAAAAATTGTGACAGTAACAATAACCAGCTTTCCACACGATGGAATTAATTAAAAATCATACATTTAGTTTTAACATCTGGACTAATTATTAATTTCAATATTTTCACCACAGGTTACTGCACACACATACAGAGAGGTGTTATTTTTAAAAAACAGTACCTGAGGAGCTTGCAGAGAAGTTGTCTGAAGAGTTTCTGTTTGAGAATTAACATTCACTTCTGTCTCAAGTTGCTCCTAAAAAACAAGAAGTATCAACATATTATATTAAAGAAGTTGATTCCTCCATTTCTTCCCTGAATATTAAGCACATAAGATTTAGAGGAGTCTGACAGTAAAAAGCTAACAGGATTACCTATGTCTCTTATAATGATCTGTTATCCAGAGGATCTATTTTCAATATTAGAGTTACAAGCTTATATGCATTTCAGCCTTCACCCATCTTGAGTTTGAAAAAGATTTCAAGGTGACTACATAATAAGATACAATTCCTCATATGAGGGTGTGAAGACTATAAACCAAAGCACTTAAACATTTTAATAGATATTTTAATTTCTTGAGCATTTCCAGAGCATTCCAAAGGCAACAAAATATGCCCTATAAAAACCGTGTATGCCCAAGTGGATAGTTGCTATCATAAAGCTAAAGACAGACTTTCACCCTTTCTATTCACCAATAAGCAGAAATTGCCTGCTAAATTACAAGATACTGGAGTGAATCTCTGCAAGTCCTGAGAAGTTATGCTGTAACTTCATATAGTAATTTCACTATCAGAAGAAATATACTTGCAATCATTTGTTGTTGGCTTGTGGTTTTTTTTTTAATCTAAAAAGTGAAAAAGTTTGCACCTGGCATTGGGATTCTCAGCCCAACATGCAAAAAATCCCAATAGACAACTGTTCTTAAACTAAGTAACTTATTGTGTTTGGGATGCAGGCAAAGCAAGGTATACAGACACAGCCCTTATCCGATTTAAGAATTTTAAATACAAATATAATCATTAATTTTTTTGCTATGCATGATGCTGTGTGAATGACCAGCAAAGAAATCTCTCTCCTATGCAAACATAAACTCAGATTCAGCTTAAACTGCAGCAAGTAACATACTGCAATTCATTAATGCTGACACAGTGAAAAAACAGCATATCATTTTGGTATCTTCACTGGAGAGTCTATAATATATCTGCAAACAATCATTCCTACAGGAAAGCACAGTAAGCTTCACAAGGAAGAGTCACAATTAATATACAAAAGTTGTATGGGTTAGGCACAGATACCTTAATGTCCATTTTTTCATTTTCATTGAAATCTATACAGCTAGTATCTTCGCTTATTTCATCCTGCTGAAATGCAAACAAACCCAGAAAATATTAAAAATCATAAAAACATATTTTAAAATAATCAACAAGGTCACAAAGTGTTTTTCAAGACAAAATTAGCTGTAAGACTTAACACGCTCATATTCTAACAACAAGTAGCTTTTAAGACAAGAACTTAAAATCTGAGCATTTGTGCTAATCCAGTACATCATGTGATGAATATCAGCATGGTGAAAAACCACTAACACATAAACAAGCTGCATACATAAAGCAGCAATGCAGTCACAGTAGGAAATATACATCCCATTTAACAAAATAATTATAACTGGGAATATTATAATCAACACTGTGCAGCTGATGTGAATATATGAATGTAAAGTTTTGGGCACTGCTATGGTATGATCTCAAAAAATCTCAAATACCTCTTCAATTTTTATTTTCTTAGGAGACTCTTCCTTATGGGGAGATGATGTCCTTTTCACTGCTGTGACAGGGCTAGGCATTTTTGTTGCAACATTTCCTGAAGTTCTTGGTGATGGATTTAATAGACACGCTGAGGAAGCAATTCTAGAGATGGTAGGCTTTGGTGGTGGAGAAATGGCTGGTTGCGTGGCAGTTTGAGGAATGCTTTCATTTGAAGTACCTATAGATAAATAATTTTAAAAGCTTCAGCAAGATGAGTTGATACAACCATTTTAGGTCAATCATCACTGGTATTCTTGGTCTCTACTCAAAATCACTGGTATCAAGTACGCACCAAAGAAGCGGTACAGTTAGTTGTATAAGCACCATATTTGGAACAGCAGGTGTGCATCCACAGAGTTTAGTCTCAAGTTAGTTCTGAGATAACGTGCGTACCAGATACAGGGTATCAGTGACATGCTGCTTGGTCTCATTAACCCTGCTTAACAGCAGGGTATATTAGCTCAGACAGAACTCTGTGCTAAGACAGCTTGTATTATTCTTGGTACCCAAAAGAAGTTTTACTGTTTCTGTACTTGGCCATATATATATATATATATGTATATATATGCATTGACAAGGAGTGCCTTAAATCAAATTCAAGAGCAATCTGGTACTCCTTTTGTCACTTAAACATGAAGTTTATCATTTCTCATGCCTGGAGTACACAATGACAGACTAAGTCACAGAACAGTAGACAGAAATCTGACATTCCATGCATCCTTTTGAAAAAGGCTGCATATGACAAAGCTCTAGCTCACCAATTGCCTACCTCAAACCGATGAGCACACACAGGGAGATGCTCAAGTAAGAGAAACATGACACTTAGGACATTTTTCACTAGTAACTATCAGGTGGCTGCTTCAACTAAAACACAAGAATGAGCAACTTCTGATATGCTTCCAAATCCAAAAATGTCACACCGTTTAAGCTCCATTTAGTGCTCATAGACAAACTTACTCACTTTGATTTTTATTGTAAGTCACAGGTGCATCAGTGAACCGTCTCACATGTCAGAATGAAGTAAGAGAAATCTCATCTTGAAAGGCAAACCAGTTGGTCACCTTTCCCATCTATTTCTGACTTGTTCCTTGTATACAGCTAATGTTTATCAAAAAAGAGGAGCAGCTGACTCTAAGTGAACAATTTCATCAGATGCCTTTGCTCTTTCACTAAAAAATACTTTAAAAAGAAAAAATATTACTGAATGAAGTGTACCTTTTCTTGTAGAAAATACAGATAAAGCCTGCACACAGAATGAGACATAGCTGAAAAGACATCAATAAGCAGCATGTGTTCTGCTTACATCCGAGTCGTTTTCACTCCTAGACTAAATTTCCATGAAGGACAAGGAGCAGGAACATGGGAGCACAGATGACAAACAGTACAGAACCCCATCTTGGGTTTAACTATAAAATGGATTAAAAATAAAAATTGCTCTTCCAGCTTTAAATAATTTTTCCTCATTTGACGAGCTGAACTACAGACCTGCCTCAGGACATCAGAAAACTACTGCTATTGTGAATAGCAAATAAAAATCCTTAAGAACAAAAGAACAAACAAACATCACAAAATATTCCGCTGTGATTTCCAGAGTCCTAAAGAAATTAGTTAAATCTGTATGCAAAGAGAACATGTTACAGCATGCGTTAAGTAAAGAACCCAAACTGGAAGAAAAAAGCCTTTAAGTGTTATCAAAAAAAAGCCAAAAAAACCAAACAACAAAACAAAACCAAGAAACACAAAACAAAAAAAACCAGTATCAACAGACCAGCATATTAAGCCATTTCCCTTACCCCCTGAGCTTTCACTGGAATTTATTTGTGGCACAGTGACTTCAGAAGCCTGTATGTTGGTCACAGATGCTGCTGTTACAGCTGGCGCAGGACTGGTTCTGCTAAAAAGAGAAAAATGACGAGATGCTAAGCATTACATAAAGTTACGGTGCTATATGATCGGCCAGTAACCACAGCTGATAAGATTTTACCTACGTTACAGGCCAGAACTTGAAATACAGTGTCACAGTAGGAAGACAGAAATGAGCACTGGCAATCTACTATCAAACTTGAGTAAAGGAAGCTATTTCAACTATTTAACCTGAATCACTTCAGAGACAGCTTTTTAGACCAGTAAGAAGCTGAATTAAAAAAAAAAAAAAAAGCAACAAATAAGGCTTTTCCTGCTAACTACCACTTACAGCCTCCTACTGCAGTGCCCCAAGTTTTTATATTATCTTGTTCTAAGCATATTTACCCAACTTTATTCCTCAACTGAAGTCCAATACCATAACACCTAACTCCAAATTCAGTCCTGCTCTAGTGCTCAAACTGGACATAGGAGTGTCTACAAGCTCCAATTTGGACCATTCACACCTTGATAATCATCTCACGTATGATTATTGGCGAGGCACTGGAATAGGTTGCCCAGGGAGGTTGTGAATGCTCCATCCCTGGCAGTGTTCAAGGCCAGGTTGGACGAGGCCTTGGGTGATATGATTTAGCCTAAGGTGTCCCTGCCCACGGCAGGGGGGTTGGAACTAGATGATCTTAAGGTCCTTTCCAACCCTAACGATTCTATGATTCTATATGCAATATTTGCTGTTTCTCACACAATTACTTCAGAAACAGAAAGTAGGAAGAAGCCTGAAAGTCTTCATTACCCCTGAGAGCTTCCAGAACTGTTCAATGGACTCGTCTTCATAGCACTAGTAGGTGAAGGCACAGACGTGCTGTTATCACTGTCCATAGACAAGTCTAGGCTGCTGTCATTCAGAGTTGTCAACCTGATCCCTTCTGTTGAATGCTGCAATCCACAAGACAACAGAAAATCATTAGTCCTATTAAGGGCTTAAATATCAGCAAAGATTCAAATGATGCAATATTTCCACAATGCAAAATATTAGCTGTTACATTTGTGAAGAAAAAACAAACAAAAGATGATTTAACAGCGATGAGCTTCCACCATAAACTAAGTTTGTATGCATGCCTTAAATGCAGTTACATTTTAAGGAAAAAAAAACACAAAAAACTAGTGTCAAAACCTGGTGTCAAAATAGGAGCAGTTAAAACCACAAAAAAGTGGACAAATTTAAAATCCTTTTATGTGTAAATACTACCCCATCCTGTCACTACAAGCATTTACATTTTCACATTCACAATTCAAGTGTAGATTTGTCTGAACCAATGATGTTCAAAAGCACAAGATGAACTAATCTATTTAGTGATTGTATTTTCAGCTTTATTTCAAGTTTCTCTGGCTTATAGATACTGCTTTCATTAACATCAAAGTAATATTGATGCACACCAAAACCACAATTAATACAAAGAATTGAGAGACTGATTTGAACTTATAGTTAGCAAAGAAGAACCCTCCTCTGACACAGCACTACTTGAAAGAGATCTATTAACTACTTAATACATTTCAGAGAACAATGTAAATATTATAGTTTTACACTTGGTTTCAATATTGGATTTCCCATTCTTTAAAAAAGCAATTAATTTAAAACAGCTACAGTAATAAAGCACATTACTCAGATATACCTAAAACAGAGTATATTCTAACAGTGGCTAGCTATTCACAAAACCAAGTAAACCTGTACTGTTCTTGGATTAAGCTAAACAGACACAAAGAAGTGGGGATTTAGAAACACAGACTAAATTATTAAATTCAATGTTCCAACCCCTTCCTCCTGCCTCCACTGAAAGTAAATCACAGCCAACACAATAGCTTAATTAAAAAATTTGCTACCATTCTCATATATATCCACACAGGTAAACTATATACTGAGGGAGAAAATAAACTTGGCTAGACAATGGGCAACTTTCTGGTGTCAAAACTGTCATTTAAATCTTTTAAAAGAGCATACAACACCAAAAGCTGCCGAGTTGCAGGTTGAAGAATGCTTTCCTCCAAATTATCCTCAAAGTATTCAACATCAGTTACAGCAACTGACTACCATGTTAAATGGAAAAAGGCAGCAACAAATTCAACGCTCTACACTGCTATTTGGTTACTTGCAATTTTACATTTAGGAAACTTATAGGATAATCTAATAACAAGAGAAAAGGGATAGAGATAGCAATTGCTTGACTGACTGTTCCATTACTATTGTTACAGATGCTTCCTTTACATGACCTCCATGTTAAAATAGCAAGAACGCTTTAAAACTTTATTATTACACCATTTCGTTTAGGAAGGCCAACAAAATAAAATATTTCAGCCGGATCTGAAGACATTGTTGATGTTCTGGGAAATCTGGTATCACATTTAGTGCATCTAGTAAAACTGCTACAGTCAAATGAGATCACACTGCTTATACAGATAAGACTAAGCTTTCAAAATGTGTTTTTAGTTCTTTGATTAATAAGTCTAAGAAGCTGAGAAATCGTTTCCCAACGGAGTTTTTATTGTTCAAATATTTGTCAAGTTTACCTTTTTCTTTTTCTGAAGCACGTGATTAGGTAGCAGTTGGTGAAGTTGCTTACGTTTCACATGCCTTGCAGCAATCTTCATATCCATCTCAAACATCTTGCTGTTTATTGCTTGCCTATAAACTACACAATTAGAATAACATTAAGACATGTTGAAGCATTTTGCAACGTCCACTTACTTGCCCAGGCAGAAAAAAATTGCATTTCATAACACCACCTTCAAGAACAAGCACAGCGTTTCCTTATTCTGGATGCAGAAAGTGAACTGCCTACTACACCACCACTGATGGTGCAAACACTAAAATGTTACTTTGGAAACAGGTGACCTGCTTTTCTATAAAAGCATCTTGCAAGCAGAGAGTTCTCTAAACTATACTGTTAACAAATTTTAACAGTAACAGCTCTGAAATGACTTCTTCATTTCATCTCAAAGGAACAAAAGACAGAAATAAGATATCCCTTATGAGAATTACATTATTTACATAAAAATACTTTCGTCAGAGTAGACTGAATTTTCATTTATGTAGCTCCTAGAGCAAACTGTTCCAAATTGAGGAGCTGAATACTGACCCGCCAACAAATATACTACAAATCATTCTGGCAATTCAGATACCACACTACATTTTTGCTGTTGTAGTCTTGGGGGGCTGGTGGTGGTAGTGTCTGTTTTTGTTTTTTTGCTTGCCCTATTTATTTTTTAGGTCTACTATAATGTTCTAAAATGTTCTTTGCCTCAGAACATGTACTTCTAGTGAGTCCACATAGAGCTAATAAAAGAACTAACACTGCAACCCAACATCTAAGGGGGGCTATAGGGATGCTGGGGAGGGACTATTCGTTAGGGACTGTAGTGACAGTCTTAAGATGATCTTAAGGTCCTTTCCAACCCTAACTATTCTATGATCTTGTGTTCCAGTAAAGCCAGGTGAAAGAGGTTAAAATGAAAAAAAAAATGTTCTTTCACATCAATTTTCTAGATGACATTAAACAAAGCCATAGCAAGTGTATGAATACAAAAAAACTTTCTGTAGATCTTCACCTTTTAAGTTCTGTTATTTCCCTTATTCACTGTCTATTCTACCAATATTAAGGAATCTCATTAAGGAATTGATTAGGCTGTATGTAATTAAAATTTGATTAAGAGTCAGACACACAAATAGCTCAATGAATTCTGCATATTAAAGAGCCCACTACACTAATTTTTGGCATTGAAGCTCATAAAGCCTCTGTGTGAAGATTATACAGGTTACAGTTAAGGCAGGGGCACACACAGGAAAGCCAGACATGGTTAAAGCATTCCATATTCCTAACATTAGGTCTTACCAAAGTTTCAATACAAGGAAAACCTAGCCCACTCTTCATGGCTTTCTTCCTCTCCCTGCTCTAAAAAGTAGCCTATTCCATAATTTCATTCGTGAAAATGCTCTGGTAGTTCTGATAAAAATCTTAGGATCTATTCCAAAAGACAGGGCAAGCATGTTTTCAGGATGGATTAAAAACATTGAAAACAGACCCACATTAATTTGAGATGACAAAGAAACCCATAACACACAAACAGAAATTGTTTGTTTGATACTTTTTACAATATTTACAAATTGAATGGAAAACTATACACTGCAGTCTATAATGTTTTTGATGAAATACTACTTAAAATTGCATGTAGCCAAGTTTCAGACCTGCATGTAATGCAAGTAGATCAGACTCATTAAGTGCAACATTGAGTATTTTCATACCAAAAATTTGACAAGTACACTACTGAAGTATCGTTTATAAAACACAAAAAGACACTCTAATTCATAGATCCCTTCACTCTTTCAAAGCAGCAGCCAAGCTATTATACCTTTTCTAAATTCTGAAAAATTACAATGATGTGTCAATAGTTTCACCTTCACCACTTGAAAGGAATATTCCACCTCTCAATAAAAATCCCCTTGCCCCCACTGTAGCTTTATATGACTAAAAATAACTTCAGTACCTTGGCATAATTTACTTATAAATATACATATTTATTAATATTCACTCATACACCCACACTGTGTATGTGTGTGTGTACGTACAGTTTCCTCACTTCCAGACTGAGTTGTGGAAATTCGGAGACCAGGGCTGCATTAGGTAACACCTGAACCTACTCCTGTAACTGTAAAAATGTAATACTTGAGCCTTAAGCATAGTTTGTTAAAGGAAAAAAATCTTGGCCCTAGACTCTGGAGATGCACACCTTTTCAGCTGTGACCCATTCTTTGCTTACATATTTCTTATGCATGTGCTACAATATTTTCATGAATCAAAAAATAAACATCAGAAAAAACTCAAAAAGATTTCTTGCACTGGGTGTTGGACATGAAAGTAAAAGTTACTGAACCAACTAGCTAGTATGAAATGCTATGGAATAAAAGGCATTTTGTTCTGAAGTCTACTAGTTACTTGGCTATAATCCACCGATAAATTCAGTCTCATCATGCAAAAAAATATTTAAATTATATATGTTTTAAACATGAGGTTATGCTAGGTAGCTAGCATGTAACCAATCTGCCTGTTTAACAAAGATCACAATATATAACAACGTTTTTAGTGAGATCTGAAAGATGCATGCATCATTTTCACCAGTTTTAATGAAAAAAATGAAAATTATTACTTTGTCTAGCAGCATTAAAACTCATTAAAACTGTATTTCATTAAATAACCTCAACTCCTTAGCTGAATCTCTCTTCTCTATGCCTAGACAGAGCTCTGCTACTGAAACAGGCTACATTATGAACAAAGACAATAGCTTCAATGATTTTATCAATACCAGAACATGTAGAAAGCAAAACTTACCTGTGTCTGTAAAAGACTGAATGTCATAGGTAAGGTCAACACTTAAATTCTCAGAATTCTCTGTTTTCTTAAACACCAACCCAATCACCCACATTGTACGGTATTCTTCTCTGGAAGATATTATACAAAACAATCATATAATACTGGCAGAAGAATAATCTAAACTACTAAGACAGACAACAGTTGTACATTTTTTAGCTCTACTAGCAATGGGGAGCTAGCCATAGAAAGGCAAAACCCGAAGCTGACAATGACATTCCCCTTTCATTTGGGAAAAGTCATGAAAAAATGACACATTTATCTCCAGCAAACTTAATGAACGAATATCATCAGTAATTACTTCATTCAACTGTGCTTCTGTACAGACTCTCTCATTAGGAATTTTAACTAGACATTGCAGCTGTAAAGGAGCAATTTGAAAGGAGAAAAGAGATTTTCAGTACTTGATCCTGAAAATAGTTAGAATTTATTCCCTAACTAACCAAGTCCTGTTTCGGCACCTAAACTTTTCTTTAACTCTCCAATTTCTTAACCATGACTAGACAAAGTGCAGTTTTGGGGCAAGAAAAGCCTCCCTTTGACAGCACACCTTCACTTAACATACATGGAAGATGATTACAGTTTATTACAGAATATAGCATAACAGTTCTGTAACAGCTAAAGACATTCGATGTTTTAATTCAAATGTCTTTTCCCATAGGACTATTTCAGGAGAACATTGTCTTCCAATCAACAGGCAGCTTTAGCTGTATTCACCCACTAACATGGTGCTGAAAAAGTATTGCCTGCTTTTGTCCAATTTTACTTAGAACACATATGTAATTTATGTATGTAACTTAAAAAAAAAAACAAACCAAAAAACAACCCAGTAGCACCATACTGTCACTTGAAGCAGATGATGTCTGAGAAAGGCCAGCAAACAAGGCTTTTCACACACTCCTGGTGAAGACAAAAATTTTCTCCACGTTCTCACAAAAATGATTCCTTACAATTATAATGCTACCTAGAAATAAATTTTATTAAAAAGAGGTTTTAACCAACTATAGTTGTTTTGGGTGGGGTGACAAAGCACGGAAATAGTTGAAAATATATGCCAAACAATTTGAAGCACTTGGTATCCTCACCACTGTTCACACATCCAAATTCTAACATCAGCCATTACCAAGTTTCAGTGATATGCACCTTAACTGCTAACAATATTAAATGTACTTAGTTACTTAAGATTTCGGTTCCGCGTCTGATGTTCTTCCTGATTCTCAGTGCTGCCTCCTAACTAAAACTGTCTTATTATCTGATGCTAGCTGCTCAAACAGCAGCTAAGCAGCTAAGTAACAGCAGATTCTTGGCAAGAAAATATGCAATTTAATACAATTTTCTGCTTAGAAACATTCTTATACAGAATAGAGTATCTAATTTTACAAGTAGTATGTAAGAGCTCAAAATTATATGCCTTTAGATGATGTAACTGAAAATTAATCCATTTAAGATTCTATAAAAATGCTAGTGTGTTTATTAATGAATTGGCTTTTAATTACGTTAGTTCCTCACCGTTACATTAAAAAAGTTTTGCTTACTTGTCAGGATTCTCCTTCGGTGCTGGGAATGACTGTGGATTCACATGAGCCAACGTAATGAATTCATTCTTCTCCAGATTTCCAACTAGAATACGAATTTTTGATTCCACCAAGCCCACCCTGCATGAATGTCATTTATTAGCAAGTTCTCATTAATATGAAATAGAAGTATCTAATATCATGTATCAGGACAAAATCCTCAACATCCTCCCTATACTAATAGTTGAGTCTGCAAATTAATTAGTGCACTACAGATGACAGACTAATTCAGACCAACAAACCAAGCGAACATGTTCTGAAAACTAACACCAGAGAAGCTTAAGAGTGCCTGAAGATCTCATTATGGCCAGATTTTACAAATCAAATTAAATAGCAAGACGTTCCACATCAAGTAAAAGGCAGCAAGAAACTCCAACGTATTTCTCCAACATTCTTTTGGCTTTAGATGATGAATTTTCAGGTTGAAGAAATCCTCAACACGTGACAATCTTAAAACTTTTATAACAAAAGAGGGCAGAAACAAGGGAATGTTTTTTTTTTTTGAGAAAAGGTATTTCAAGAGATAGAAAACATACTCCTCGCACTGCTTATTAAAAATGTGCATAAGGCTTAAGAAAACAAGATTTTCCAGTGCACCTGACTGTGCTGTAAAGAAGTAAAATGCAAGCAACAGCTTTCACTCCTTGGTTCTTCACTTTTACTGTTTTTCAGAAACATGCTGTCTTCATCCATTTAATTCTGAAATGCCACTTTGTTCCACTAAAAAGATATTAGAATGACTAGATCTCCCTTACATCCAGGGTTGACAGGGTTTTGGTTTTGTTTGGAGGTTTTTTTTGTGTTGGGTTGTTGTTTTTTTTTTTCTTTTTCAATAGCAAGCATTATACTCACCATTCTAGACGCTGTTTTTCTGTCGGTGCACTTGCTAGAAGTACAATATAATGCCTTTGGAGATAAAGACAATATGCTATTCTATTTATACTTCTAAAATAAGACATCAAACCTTAACATTAAAACTTTGTAGCAAATTGTACACTGCAAACTACAGATTATTAGCTTAAGTATATATACTCATCAATATAATTATGCATTTTTATGTCCCCCAAGCATGTGACTAATGGACTTCCCAAAAAACATTTCAGATTTTAGGGAATTGCATTTTTACTTTAATTAATACCAGTAACCTTAATAAAAGCCTAGGAACGTAGCACTAGTTGGAAAACAGTACAGATATTTCAATATGACATGATATCAGGGATTTAAATGACGAGAGATTCCTTGCAAGTGAAAACAACTGTTCACAGCCATCTATACATATGCTAGCTTAGTCTCATATCTGTTTAGAAGAACAGTTAACAAAAAAAAATGCATTTCTTCAAAGTAAAAAAAAAAATGACACTAACAAGTGTGGTTTAAAAAGCCAGTATCTGCAGCTTAGAACTGTCTGAAGACACTTAATCTGAAACTTCATGAGGAATGTTTCCTCTGATGATAATTCTTAAGCTCTCAATTATATTCCAGGACAATCAGTGTATACACACTAAGTAAATTTCAAATAAACAGAAAACAGAACAAGAATGGTGGTGTAAACAAAGCAGCCTAAAGAGGGTGGAATGGAAGATGATTACTTTTAACTTGAGTTCATAATGAGGGAGGTGAGTGAACCTTACATGGTTACAGCCAGGTTTTTCAGAAGTTTAGCAGAAAAATCTATTTTAACATCCAAAGTCATCCAACTTGGCATTACTCCATAATGATATGGTATATTTAGGTATCTTCAGATCAGGATTTAAAGAACATAAGTAATATAATGGATTTGACCCTAGTATATATACCTCATGGAAAAGAACACAAGGTCAACGATGGTGAAAAACTATTGTGCGAAAAGTCCTATGAAGCTATAGGCCTTCAAATTGTAATGGCAAATAAAAATCAACAGATCAAATTAGTAAGCACATAATTACGTATTTAAGTGGCAAGAGGAAAAAAACCTTCTAAATGCTACAGTCCTTTGAAATCAGTCAGAGGATGTCAATGACACTAAAGGACTGAAAAAGATTTGGAGAAACTTTTTTCCCCTTTCTGCATAGATTAATTTTTCTGATAAAACAGAATTTTAACCCATTCCGAGTCAGTTTTATCTAATTTTTTTTTCCATTTTGGCATTAATAAATAGTAAGGGTCCTTTATTCAAATTCCATATGGGAAGCTCCTAACTTCTGGTATCTATTTTCCCTAATGAGCACTAGATATGCAACTATCATTCATAAGATTCCTAGATCATACATACCACACAAGCTTGCAGAATGTTTAATTTAGTAGGAAAGCCAACTTAAGCTTTTTGTTGTTTTTAAACATGTATGAACTGAAAAAAAACAAGTATCTGAAAAAATAATTTCCAGTTACTTATTAAAAGCAGCTCTTTGAAACAAATTTCTGAAGAATTAAAAAACAAAAAAAAACCCACAAAACCAACTTGGCTATGTCTTAAAACCTCAGCTAAGTGGTTAGTACCTAGGAAAAAAAAAAACTTAAGGCTTTTTTATTAAAATATAATGATTAGCTATTTTTGCTCAGGTAGTGCTAGCTGAAAAAGAAGGAACAGGAGAAGATGCAATTTCTTCCCCCATACCCAACTGTTAAAACGGTGCTAAGAGGGAAATCCACTACTGGCAGTTTCACCAAAAGTTAAATAGCACAAGCTATTAAAAACCAAGATGTACTTAGTTTTAGAGTCAAAGTTCTCACTGCTAAATTTTAATAACAAGATTATCAGTTCTTCATTCATAATTTTATCACACAGAATATTTCTAATCCAAAAGTATCCATTACTTCAGGATAAAGGAAAAAAAAACCAAACAAAAAAAACCTGAAGTTAAGCTTCTACCTCTCAGTGGTGATTTTTAGATTGAGAATATTGTTTTGAAGTATGTGGGTTTAGTCTTTTTGTTGTTATGTGGTTTTGGTTTGGGGTGCTTGATTGTTTGGTGAAACAACTGCTATTTCTCTCCTATTGTCTCCCTATCAGTATTGTTTTTATAAAAACAACCTTATGTAGATATTACGGAACTGTCTTACAGCATTAACACCCATACCTACAAAAAAATGAAGGATTTTTAAGTCATGCTACCTTCTGAAAAAAAGTGGGAACACCTGAACATGTTCATTTCAATTCTTATTAAGCTGTCCAGGATTTACACTTTAAATTATCCAGTCCTTTTAGACAGAGTCCTATCAAGGGAAGTGTTCAAAGCACCTTTTTAAAAGGTATGTTTACATTCTACTTATTTAGCAGGGTATCCCTACAACAGAAAAAATATGCCAGAGCTCATTAAATGAGTGTTATTTCTCTCGCTACTGTACTTCCCTCTTTGCTTTATGCTGTAATAATTTAATTCTTAAGTATCACTTCATCCTGATGTTATACCTATTTGAAATTATTTTTGTAATTTCACTCCAAAACACCATATCCAACCAAGTGTATGTCCTTTGTTGTTGTTTCCCCCCCCCTCAAAATTTAAAAAAGAATGCATGAAGGGCAGATAACACATGTAACTACCTAAATTCCAAATAATTGACATTTTGTATAAACAGGAAAAATACACACATAAAACCAGATGTCCCCATTTTCTTAATTTCTAATCTGCTCCTGCCATGCAGGTATGCAGCAGTCTCCTTAGTCACAAAGTTTATTTTAAACACTGCTAACAAGTCAAAAATGTTTATGATCAAGATAGATGTTTAGCAACCAACCGTCATCAAGAGTGCTACGGATTACTAGAGCAATCAGAGAAGTGTTTTTAAAACTGTGTCTCAGAGCAAGGACCAGACCTTGTCTTACCTGACAGAGCACTACATGCTACTTCGAATTTCAGCAGGGACAACTCAAGGCAACTACAACTTAGACAGGAGGAAAGTGTGAAGGAGGGAGGAAAAAAAAAAAAACCACCATCTAGCTTTCAGATGGAGATCTGAGCAATAGAGCCATATTTATTGCATATGGATGACTGTATATAAAGAATATGTAAGAGCTTAGTAACCAAAACTTTTAGTTAACCAGAAAATCTTGGTTAATTTAAACAGCTCCATATGATCATTCCACAATTTAAAAAATAAAAATAAGCAAAGACATTCTGTGCAAAGCATACAAACCCTGAACACTTAATGTTAGCAACAGAAAATTTTATTGCTAAAAAATGATAAAATGGCTAAAGCCAGTACACAAAAATATATTTAAATTAAGATTATTTCAAGTGACAATGTTTCCCATTTTTCCTAGTTTTGAAAGAAACAGAAAACTTACTAGGGAACTTACTAACTCTTGAGCAGAAGCTGATTTGTCTGCAGCCCATCTTAACTTGAAAAAAATAATGTAACTTTACTGTGCTTTTATAAGTGTTTTGAAGCTTACATCTCCAAGGTACAACATAAAAGCCATCCAAATATTTTAAAGCCTTTATCATGCAAAAGGTATAGAAACAAAACACAGACACATTATGAAGGTCATCAGTCTCTTTTAATGGGGGAACTGTATATTTCAATCTTGTTTAAATTAGTACATAACCAACCAACCACCCAACACACAAACAAGTGTAAAAGATATCTGATTTTGATTCAACAAGAATGGGTCTCCAATTTCAACTGAGGGCAAAGAAGATGTAGTCCATATTTTAATAATCCGCATTTATTATAAAAATACAACTTTCAGCAAGTCCATATACATTTAACAACCTTCTGCCCCACAAGCATATTACTAGAAACCCTAAAAATTGAGGTGTAAACTTCAATATTTCCTTTAGAGACATTACAAAATTAGAGAAACTAGGTGTGAAAGAGTATTAATAAAGACCCAAAAGCCTTAAGCTTTAATGAAAAAAGTTCAGTGAAACCTAGTACATCTGGCAGTTAGTCAACACAATTGTAAAAATATCTTTTATTATCAGAATGAACTGTTGACTATGTTAACAGAAGAAAACAGTTTCAAGCATGTACTCATCTTAAATATTGACTTTCAGAATTAGTTCTTTAAATATCTTGTTTCCTGAGAGGCTGAATTTTAGAATGCTTACTGACACCACTAATGAACATTTCTGTTAGTCAAACCAGCTGATATATCTTCAATTTTACTGGTAGCATACAGATTGTATACTTAACTGGTGACATTTTAAGTATCTGGTCAGGGACTAACAGTTTCTGAAATACATGCTAAAGACAAAAAGAAAAAAGATCTGAGGAAATTATTAATTTTCTAAGAGAAAGGATAACAGTGCATTCACTCCCCCTCTGTATAGAAAAATCCTAACACTTTTTGGAACTCTAATGTATGTATAATTTAAGATCCTGTGCTACAGAGCATCGTAAGATACTTTAACTGATAAAACTTAAAATATTCTCCCATGCCATAAAATACATACTTGTACTTTTGAAAGAAGTTTGGAGCTTCAAAAAGTTTGGACCACTCTGCCTTACTCAGCAAAATTTCATCTGTGATAGCAAGACCTAAATTATAAAAAAAAATAAATTTAAACTTTGTTTTTAAATACAGTTTAGTATCCAGAGTAAAAACAGCTTATTAACTTAGCAAAAAGTTACTAAAATTATTTTACCCCCTTAAAATTCAAAGGAATTTATCAAGTTTTATATTGCAGTCATACCTTAAGTGGTCATTATTTATATAAATCATATTATTAAGAACCTCAAAATGTGATTAGAAATGTATGGTAGTTGATCAGACTGAAAACTTAATGCATTTTTGCTCTGCAGTGTAACACTGCTCAGTTCAATCTTCCGTGTATGCCACAGTAAGTACTCAATTCAAAGATAAGAGATCTTTTTCCTTACAGTACTTGAATCATCTCTTCTAAAAGGCAAAGACACAGTAAGACAATAAGCTACTGCTCTTTCCGAGATAGCTACTGGTGCTGATGCTCTCTTCATCAAGTCTACTTCCTGCTTTGATAACATTGTCCCTTATTTACTGCAATTTTCCAAGCATATTACTAGGAAAAATCTACAGGACTCATCTCTAAGAAAGTATATGCCTTATATTAGACCCCAAAATGGCCATGACTGGATTACTACACTTACCTTCACTGGGACATGCCACAGTCTAAAGCCACTAAAATAAACCAGGCATTCTAATTAATTACTCTCAGTTTCTAAGAGTGAAGGACAGGTTTGCAGAAATCTTCACTGAATTTGGAACTTCAAGCCACAGAAGTTTAACAGGCCAAGTTCTACCTCTCTCAAAGACAGTCTCACACCAAGACACTATTGAACATCCTCCCACCTCCATCCTGACAACCCATACCCACAATGGAACTGTTTTAAAGCCATTTGAAAACATTTATATAGAGACATAAGATAATACTTACCTTGTTTAAATTCCTCAACCATGACCATCCGTGTGGAAACGGACACATTGTAGGTAGAGTTCTGCTGTGGATATGCTGGTGTAATTATAGGCATAAGATGGTACCTATCACTGGGGTTTACCTATACATAATAACAGCCAATCAGTTTTCTTCAAGCATACACATGAGTTAACAAATTTGGATTTCTCCTTTTACTACAACTGCATCTTAAATTCTAAGAGACTTTAGTTTGCAGACCAGGTTAAATTTACCAACAGTTCAGAAAAAGTTTAGAAAACAAAAACAATGTTTTCAAAGGTCATCATTCTGAAACACAGTGATGTGGGGAGGGCTGTAACCTGTCGGCACATCAAGATCAACTTGCTGGCATTTCAAAGTACAGAAATGCCAACTGAACAGAACAATTTCTCTCCTTAACAGAAATTAGCTTGGGAGCACATCAAAACAAGGATACCTTATCACCACATGAACACCTTCGGAAGAACAACTATCTTCAGACCTTGCAAAAAAATATCTTATACTTTATTTCTGTAATGCTACTGAAAACAAAGAGCTAACTTAAGACAAGAAGCTCTAGGCAACCTGACAGAAGCATCACTTGCATTAGCATATCTTTTATTAAACAGCACACAGAGGAAAAAAAAAAGTGACAAAATACACACATGCAAAGTACATTTTAAATAGCATTACGGTAGCATTCTTATAGATAGTAAATTAAAGATAAAATGCTGACGTTAACTTACCCCACTTTTCTTATTAGCTACTAAAACAGAAACAGTTCCCATCACACTGACCTCAAACCCCCATTGCAAGAATAACAGCAAGACTTGAGAACACTTTACCTGTCTCACATTATTTAAATGTGGACTTTTGTCAACCAGAAAAAAAAATCTGAAGTACAACAGGGCATAAACTTCAAACTTTGGTGCTTACTTTATTCACCAAAAAAAGATTAGTTGAACAGCAACCATTCTAAAATTCACAAAACAGCATCAAACACATCCACACTAAGCCCTACTGAAACCTCAGAACATGAGCTGTGCTGCAAGCTGTTTCACTGAATGCCTGAATGACATTAACAGCCGCTGCCCTTAATGCAAGTGCTACAAATACGGAGATCAAATATTATAAATAATACACAAAGCAACTTGAAGTCTTCAAGTTATGATCTTCTTTGATTCAAGATGAAAAGACATTAATACAACTGCATGGAACTGAACATATCTAGCTGTGACTGCACTGAAGTGAATTCAATAGACTTCTAAAAGTAACAGGTTTTCAGTTAGAAGCAAACCATTTCAAGATAAGCAGTTTTAAAAAAATTAATTGCTTTAAGGCGCGTATCTAATTAGGCCAAGTATTTATTAAGATCACTTATTGCAAAAGTTGGGAGTAAAAAAGTACATTGTTCAGCAAGTGTGCTTCCAGTGGTCGTTTAGAAAGATAAGCTTTGTTCCACATTCAGGAGAACTACAGGTTAATTATAAGGAAGACATAACACCAAAATATTACATTTAATAAACCCAAAATGAAGTTCACCTAGGACTCTTTAAGCAACTGAATTTATCGCACAGTGTGACTTATACGGGAAAAAATAATACACTAACCCTTGGGTCCCATACAGGCAAATTAAGATTGCATTCTTCTGGCTGTTTCAATAGCACTGGATTTGGCCATTCCCTGTTCAAAAAGATTGTAGCACTGAATAAGACTATTGGATACAACCATGTTCAACAAACAATACTTTTGAACGCGATCCTTCTGCTCTCAAGGTAAAGCATCATTTCTGTAAGACTAAGCTGGTCTAACTGGAGTTATTTACATAAGCCGTATTACTGAACTACAATACATCTGTAATTAGCTTTTCCAGGCCATTAGAACAATTAATTTTTTTGTAGTCTTTGGAGTTTCGTAACTACTGCTTTAGGGAACTAAAACTCCTCTAATTTCTTCTTGAAATACACCTAGCAAAGAGAAATTCCACTATGAAGATGGACACTGGGTCCATCTTCAACCTAGCCGTTTCATGGACAAACTACAGAAGAAACAGCCAGCATGGTTACAGCATTACAAGCATCATTACAAGGTGTATGTATTTAAAAAAAAAAACAACTAAAAAATCCAATCAAGTAAAAAAGAATCCATGCCGAATGAAACACTAAAAAGAGGCAACACTTCTGTTCTTCAAGTCATCTCTACTCCCATAAATTATCTTCTTATAAAGAAGTAGAAGTCAGTTAATCTCTTGGTATTTGTACATTAATGCTCCTATGCTATGCACATATAAAACAGAATAGCAGTATAAAGAACACAGTGAACAAAGTTTGCAACCAGTTTTCCACTTTGTGTGGCAAGATACTACTAAACACTGGGGACCCCAAAAAGGATATAAAGCCTATGGATTCAAGAAACTATGGAAATTACCTTCATGTTAAGAAGGAAACACACTATACTTGAAGTAAAGCAACAACTTCATACAGCGATCCTTAAAACATGTCAATGTCTCATGAAGACTGTAGGTAGAGACATGACCTTTCAAAAAAACCCCAGTATTCATTTGTAATCTGCAAAGTGCACTCTCATCCTATTAATTCTAAATTTACTTGGAATGTTACCATTGTTCCCATCAGAGTTATTCCAGTAATCTTTCTGAGGTAACTAGCTCAGGAGTATGAAGCCATATGTAACTGCAAAACACCTACCTCTCCGCCCTGGCAAAATAAAAAAAAATACAACCCACACTTTTGCCACTGGTTCTCCAAAACTGCGTTTAATCTACATGCCTAAACCAGATACTGACACACCTCCTCTCTTCCATTATCCCAGTACCTGAATATTAAAAGACTTCAAATTTGGGGGTGTCTGCTCTTATTCTGCACTATGTAAGTATTTCTTCTAAAGAGTAATGTTGAGTTACAAAAACCTAGGAAAATTTTTATCAAAAACTGGGTGGATACTTTAAGAACACAGTATGTTGGATGACTTGTTGAAAAAGCTAACAATTTTCTGTCAGTAAGAACAAAGCTTATAACTACATCTTAATCTGGTAACACCTGAAAATGATACCATAAAAACAGGACTAAAATTTAGTGTCTACAATCAATTTTATTTTAGTTTAATCTAAATATAAGAAAATAAACAAACAAACAAAAACCCAAACAACAAACCAAAACAAAAAACATACCATTTAGAAAATACCAAGAAAAATTTATGTACAAGAGTTGATGCTATTGCATTTGGATAAAGCTGGCAAGTTCTTGCTACTAGCATAGCCCAGGAAACACCGCCAAGGAAACCTAGTATATTGGAATAGATGTTGTGGCCTGTGGATTGAAAACGAAAGAGACAAAAGAAGAAAGGTATCAGTAATTACAAGAGTTAAAAGAAACTTTACAATTTTTTGAATAAAACTGCTTACGTTTTGCCCACAGTTTGATAGCTCTCAGTGTTAACCTGAAGTTGTCAATGTTTGGTACTAGATGCAGAATTTCATCGGTTACCCGGCAACCTGCCAAAAGAAAGAATCCAAGCAATCTGATGATGTTTATGCATACTAAAATAAAAAACCCAAGCAAAAAAAAAGGAAAAAAAACCACATGCAAAATAAATAAATAAATAAATCCTCAACGCTTACGTATCTTTATTTATAGAAATGTTGATCCAAACCAGAGTCTTGCAAATCCCATTAATGTCTACACAGCACCACTTACCACCCAAATTAAAGAAAAACATTTTATAAAGATCTGGCCAATAAGAAACTTTCTTTCCAAAGTTAAATAACACTGGCTATGACTTCATTTCCAGGTATGGAGTTGCTACATTTTCAGACAAGTCCACAACTGAATTACTGTACCAAACAATCCAGGATACGTATTAAAAGATAAGATGAGAAATTCATATGCAAGACTGTATATATACATACCATTAAGACTTCGTATGCATCTAATGTCTAAATTTTTAAGTAGGCTATCGTCTCGTAGGTCTAAGTCCTCGGGAATAGTTTGCAGTGCTAACCTCGCAAATAAAATATCAATCTTGGAAAGAAAAAAAAAACAGATAAGAAATTAGAAAACTGTTCTTCTGTAGAATTAATTCTTTAACCTATTTTTATCAAGTAGTACTACTTCCCAATGTAAAACAAGTTCAAAATTAACTTCAGATTAAAGCTGTATTATCTCTAGAAGGTCTAGGACCTCTGAAGATTCAAAGTTCTTGAAAGTAAAAGCATTTTTGCAAATAAATAAACAGCTTGACCTGTGTCTTTCTGTGTGTGTAAGTAATTTTTCTACAGGAAGAAAAAATAAAAAAAAAGCAAGAAGTTTCTTGTTTATTTTAAGCAAGAACATAAAATGCGTATATAAAAACTAGTATTGCCAGAAACATTTGAAGTTTAACTGACAGGATCACCACAGAACTAAACTTCTTTCCCTCAGTTCTAAGGTTTTTCTTCACAGATACCTTTTGTCTGGATTAGGAAAAGGAAAAAGAAATTAAAATGTTCCAATATTGACATTCTGGGCATAAACACAACCATCAGAAACTGTGACCTAACAACACTTGTGCATATATAAAAAGAGTGCTTGTGAGTTAGCATTCAAGGCTAGAGAACTCTCATTTGCTGTCAGCAACATGGGATAAGCCTCAGTCATACCCCTAATCAGAATCCATCACAAATTGCTATTTTGAAGCAAGATACTACTACTCTTATAGCAGACAACCCTTTTTATTAGCCTATTTATGCTTGTATTTTGAATTTTATTTCTAAAACAAGGAGAGACAACAGTGACCTAAATGCGGCTTAAAAAAAAAACAAAAAAAAACAAAACCCCCAAACCAACCACACCAAGCCCCCCCCCCCCAAACCAACCAACCAAAAATGCTAGCCAGACGATGCCTACAGAAAGTCAGAGGATGCCTATGGAAAGTTTCAGTATTTAAAATTAATACCCAAGCTACGCAAACAGAAAACAGATTCTCCAGAAAAATGTTCCCAATACCCAATTGCATTGGAAAGTAATAAAATTGCTGACACAGATGAGTCACTGGCTACCTTACTGCACAGTATCACATTGCACATCTCTCTCATTTGGAGAAAATGCATCTCTTTGCCTAAGCATCAACTGACACATCGGTGAAAGCGCAAGTAAGTAAAGCTGGATAGATGAGGGCAGAGGAGGTGGTTCATCTTCCCAAGATTCAAAAATTGCCAGTACCCCAACTAATGACCATTATAAGTGCAAGGCAGAGTTTTAACTAAAATTGACACAGAAGTGCCCAGTCCTGTATACAATACTACAGCTCTTGAAGTCACATCATGTGTCAGACAGTTAATATGGAATTTTCCCCCCACTGTAAAGTACACTTCTTATACCACCCCCAGTTGCTGCTTGACATAATCCAGCTACAAGTCTGATGAACTGTGTGTATGGACAGTTTATATGTTTTTGTCTTGTCACCAAGATAACAGGTTAACTATAAACCAAGCTGCGAAAGATGAACAGAATGTCTTTTGAAAGCAATATTCTTGTATTCTCAGCAACTTTACCCAAAATAGTAAAAATCAAGTTAAACAAGTTGATCACTCCAAGACAGCTGATCCATAAGGCTACAGACCCCAAAACAACTGTTTTGGTCACATGTTTACAGACGTCTGAAGAGATCAGGACTAAGGGGATATACCCTGTCTGCCTTCAGTCATACATTTTTGAAAGAGATAAAAAAACACACTTCCTATAGTAAAGACACTGAAGCAAATCTGAATTTAAGGTTCTGACAGCTAATTATTAGCAGCCAAAAAAATTACTAAAGCTACATTATTAACAGAATTTCTATTAAGTCTTAATAATGCCAATACTAGTATTCTGCAGATCAGTAAACTAATCAGTACTAGCAAGTAGCAGTGCCTAAAAGAACAGGCAGATATCCTATACAAAGATCTAAGTACATAAAGAAAGACTTGTTTTAGTCTTAAAGCCACACTTTAAGTTACACAACCGAGTACTACTGTCATAAACTTAGGAGAGTCATTTTAACAGCACTCATTAATGAATACTACACGAATTACAGATATCTTGAAAACTTCATTTTAACCATGCTCTACCAAAACAAAATAAAAGATCTTTACCTCTATTCCATCAAAACAAAGTTTAATAACTGGGACAAAAGCTTCTTCAACAGCCTGGAGGGGAAAAAGTTGTATTTTATTTTCAAGTACAGAGAACACTTACAAGCAGGTCTAAACAACCACACTGACATGCTAATCATACAGATGCTTTTTTGTTTTCAGGTTGATTTTTGTCAGTAATGCCTCCTCCACCACTTATGCAGTAAGCCCTGATCTGCTACATCCTACAGCTGTCTCGATGTTAATTATAAACTCATACCCACTAGCTCTAATGATGTTACTTGAAGGTCCAACTCTCTTCTCACTACATGTAGGACATGATCAAATGTTTTACTCCTCACATGATCTCCAAGGCCAACCTAGGGAGAAGTCTTACACCAAGAGGCCTCTCCCTTCTATGTTTTTTCCAGTCAGTATCTTATGAGAAGTGACAAGGAGACAACTGTGTAACTACATAGTCTAACATCATCTAAACCAGTCGCAAGTCACCAGTCTTCAGAGCTTGAGCATCTTTTATAAATGTTGTCATTAATGAGGTACTTTGACAAACTGTACCCATGATGAAATAATGGAAATCGATGCCTACTCTGACACAACCTTCCTGAACTGAGCATCCAAACTAAATGCAGATCTGCAGAGCACCACTTTAATAAAAGCAAAGAACACTGCATAATACCTCCTAATAAGTGATTTAGGAACTGCAGGGACTTAACGTGGTTTTAAGAGTTAACAAGAGGAGTCAACACTACCCTCAGCACCTAACCTTAGTTAAGGTTACCTTAAGGTTACTGGATGTTAGGATGGATCCTAAGCAAAATATAATATTCACAGGTCTCCGAGTCATTCACTAGAGCAATCATTAAGAAAGCCTAAGTTACGTAAAGGTATACAAACTTCATTCATTCTAGCTTGAATGATTTAAAGTGTTATGACACCCTGACCTAAAAGGTTATCTGTATCATTGCAGGGCTACACTGAAGAGTAGATCGACCTTGCTGCTAAATCAGCTTAAGTCACAGTTTACAGCAAAGTTAATCAGAAATCTGCAAATCAAAATCCTCTTAATTGTGGATTGTGTATTTAAGATTATTAGAAGTGCTCAGATAATAAAGCATTCAAAACAATTGTTTCAATAATAGTATTGCCACCAGGTGTTTCTACTTCCCTGTTAGCTACCAACTACAGGATGAAAAGGGTGGAAGAATACCGCAGAGACTGTTACATTTATTCTATGGAAGCATGAATAAACCAAAGTTTCAGACTTACCAGCAGCTCCCTTTATTAAAAAAACAAAACAACCAAACTGCAGCAGAGAAAATTAAATTTTCTCAAAGCAACATTAAGATTAAAGTTCCTACCAGTTGACCTAGGGAGGCTTGTCATTTATGTATAATAGAAAAAAAAATACTGTATACCAGTTGTGTCTTACATTCCTACAAGAAAAATCATCTTACCATACTGAAAGTCTTACAAAGCATCTAATAATTGGACACACTAAAAATGTAACTTCCCATTTCAAATGCATAGCTGACAGACAATACAGTGTCTCGATAACATGAACCACTGTCATTGTCCATACAAAGCATGAAATTACACAAACATCAGCATAACTGGATACTTCAAAACTTCAATAAGACACTTTTGGTCCTGATCCTTTCCAAGCTAAAACATCTGCATTTGTCTACAGCTAAAGAGCAAGCAGAAATTTTGCAGTTCTAGCACACACCCTAGGACATCATTCTGCCATGCAGATTTCTTAAAATTACTATCTCTATTAAGTGGAAACAGAAAAAACAGAAGAATCTCTATTTCAATTATGGTGGTAGGCTTTGCTGCAGGTTAACTAAAAATCCACTGCAAGCCTTTAACAGTAAAGTTCAATGTAGTTATTTAATGCATCATCTTTCACTAACTTTTCAGCAGCATCATGAGTTCAGTTAGCTACATCGGATACTTCACATACCCTCAGATCTTTTACTTCTTCTTGTTGTTTCAGTTTTTCATAAAATGATGTGAAAAAGTCACTTCTTTCAACATGCCTTGGTGCAACACAGAGGGCATCAATATCAGCACCTGAAATTGTTTATTAGCACAAGTTATTCACACTTCACGGTTCCAGCATTAGCCAGACTCTTTTCTTTTTAAAGCCAGGCAAAAATAATTTCTCTTCCTGTAGAACAGCTTTTCTTCAGGAATACTAGGTCAAATCACATACAAAAGTTCACGGCCATGGAGCATACTGAATACATACATACATTCTTGCAGCTGTTGAAGATTTGTAGTAATTTTTAAAGAGCAAACCATGAGACTCCAAGTCTACTACTTGAGCTTTAAATACTTTCCAACTTTATTATCTCTTTCCCAACCCATCACAAAAACATAACAGAGAAACATATTTCTTTTATTTATAATAAGTAAAAATGGCTGACAAATTTAAAAACCTACCACCACCTCAAAATACAGAAAGTCCTGTTACTTAAGGGTGGTGGCATTTACAGCTATGTCATTAGCTCAAACACGAGTTTTTATTATAAAAGTAGATGTTACCTTTTGTATGAACCCCTAATCTATAGGATCCAAATGTAAAAATTTTTCCTCCAACATTTTCTATTACAGATTGTGGAAGATTCTAAATGGAGCAAACAAAATTGGTTATTTTACCTTAACAAGTTTTAACAAACAACAATTTATTTTCAAACAAAAGGAAAAAATATTCCACAAACTTATGTTGTTTTAATGTATAATGATTACTGAATTAATAATCTTTGCATTTACAGAAAAGATGGAAGTTATATTTACCACTTGGCAACTATCTGTAATATTTCAACTACATTACACATTACTGCCTCAAACTTGGTAACTGTTCAGCAGTCCTACACTTCCAAGTGCAACAGCTTTAAAATATTAAGGACTTTGAACACATTTTGCTTAACACACAGACTTTTTAAGACTGACTTAGAAATTTATGATTAAGTGCAACTTAGAGGGAAAAACATATTACCAATTTCAATATCAGTGTTTATTAAATTACTTGCAGACACCCATACTACAATCTCTATATAAAAGTTTGTGACTGGGAGAGGTACTTATTTCATGTTGAAATTGTTCAGGTACATCTACTAAAGTTCCTAAATTTGCAGCTTAAAAAAAAACTCTTAAATCCACAGTACTGTGGGCAAAGACAGTTACCCCTTCATAACAGGATGCAATGTTACAATCTGAAGCTCTACGCTAATGGTTACACAACAAAACATATTAAAAAAATAATTATTTCGCAATGTATATTTAACTGAAGTAGTTTCCTGTCTTATACCAGTTAAGATACTCGCACTATTCTGCTTTCAAGAATTGCCCCCACCCATAATCTTGTCCATATATAAATTTCCATTTCATAAGTGTACAGAAGAAATACAATCCTGAATATATTTAAAGCATAATAGGTTAAAAAATATGGGTTTACCCCTAAAGGCATCACCTCCGTCTTTACAACTTTTGCAAGTCTGTAATAATTCAAAAAAAGGCATGTGTGGAGGAATAGAGCCTAGCAAAACCACTACTATCATTGTTAGAGTCTACAAAAGTAACATTACAGGACTAACACTAAAGACTGCAGATCATAAATCTGCAAGAAGTCCATTTTATGATATAGCACTGCTTCACAAAGCCAAACAATTTAAGCATGTAATTAACATAATTTATACATATTTGTTTTGACAAAAAGTTAAGCTGCATTTCTATCCAGGGAGATGAGGGAACAACTGAAAATTATTATTACAACTACAACTTTTTTTTTTCAGTTTCTTTCTTTGACAACATTCTACTTTGAAGGTGAACACTGCCTGGAAACTAAAGCAGCTACACACAGGTGTTACTTATTTTTCCATTTTTATTAAACTAGATGCTCAAATCTAAAATTCATCTCATTTAGAGCGGGAACATATTTTGGAATTTTCTTCCTACAGCAGTCATAGTATGAGCAGGTTCCATGTAAATACATCCATACCTTGCTTTCACTGATTTCCCGTATCCATTCCTTTACCAGGTTATTTAATTTTCCCAAAATTAGAATCCTGTTGATAAAACAGCAGAATCACAGGTCATGAACTTAGACAAAACTAAGTCTCAAAAAAAATTTTTGAGATGCTGATCATCATTACACACAGTCATTCAACTACAGGAACGCCACAGAACTAATTACAGATATTGCTTTATATATATACACACACTCTCAAAGTCAGTCTTACGACATTTCCACTGGCTTTTCCCCATTAAAGACCTTCAAGTGATTTAAACTCAGAAAAAATGCAATCATGCAAGGCCTACACACATTTTACATGCATTTTGCTCACTTCCAAAATAAAAGCTTCATTCATAAAACACATGCACCTAAAAAGAGTCAGACACAGTACTGACAGGAAAAAAAAAAAACTCTAGAAAGCTTAATAAGGAATAAAAGTAGATAAGTCACTACAACAAAACTGTTATGAAGGGAAGAAAAAAAAAATGCAAATCAGCCTCCAAAATTTAAAGGCCATTTTCATTCATTTTCCTGTTCTCAGGTATTCCTTTTAAGATAAGAAAAAAATTAAGCTTAATATTCTACTAGGCTTTTAAAAAAGCATTTGAAAGAACATAAACATGTTTGAGTAGTTGAGGTTCAACTACATGAACCCCAAGACAGGAGAAAACCACCGATAAAGTAAGCATTTACTCACCTGCGCTGCAATTCTTCTTCCTCTTCAAATACACCATAAGGTTTTAAGGTTTCAATTAATTTCTGGGTAAGTATGCAGTCAAACTCCTTGGGGGCAGCTAAACTGATAGGTGAGGTAATGCCATAATGCTTCTGTAGTTGCTGTGTTTGTGATCCCTGGGTTGTAACGGGACTAATAAAGGCAATTAGATAAAGTTACTGACAGAAACCAAACAAAACAAAATCATTTTAAAATTACTTTTTCTCAGCAAAACAGACAAGAGACACATACTAGGAAAATAGAAAGTTAAGCCTATTGTTAGTTTTTACATCACAGATCAATCTGTATTAAATCTGTGGTATTATGGACAACAAAAAAATTACCTTTCTCTAACTCCAAATATTGATTGCAGGGGTACAAGTTGCTATGAAGCACGATTTTTTACATCAGCTGCCTTCACACACTCAGAACACTCACACATGTAAGATGTTCTAACATATTTTGAGTCCATTAGCAACATACAGTTAGCTTTAAGCTGACTTCTCTGATGGCTAGCATAACTGTGTGCGTAGATGAATGGCATCAGCTCAATTTATCTTGGGAATATTATATACAACATTGGCCTTGCTTCATGAGGTAGGTGTGGGAAGATTATTAGGTTTGTGCTAGACTTTGCCTAGCTCAAGTACCAAGGATGTAAGCAATACTCTCTCCACATCACTCATATCTCATTAACATGATGCTTAGCTTCATATAAGTATTTCACTAAATAAGTATGTAAGCCTCAAGTAAAACTAACCCACCACAACGGGTTAAAACTGCAAGGACTTAGTTCACTAGTAAACAGTTGTCCTGGGTTCAGCAGCAGCAGTCATTTTTTCTCCTTCTTAGTACCTGGGGCAGTGCTGTGTTTCTGATTTTCAGCCTGGGAACTGCGCTGATAACACCGATGTTGTTCGTTGCTGCTCAGTAATGTTTACTCTGACCAAGGACTTTCTGAGTCTCATGCACTGCCAGGGAGAAGGGGAAGCCAGGAGGAAGCAGAAACAGGACTGACCCAAACTGACCAAAGAGGTATTCCATACCACAGCATGTCATGCCCACTATATAAACTGGGGGCAGTTACCCAGAAGGGTTAGATCACTGCTCGGTTGGGCTGGGTATCAGTTGGCAGGTGGTGAGCGGTTGTATTCTCTTCCCTTGTTATTTCCCTTATTAGCAGTAGTGGTTTTGTGTTATACCTTAGTTACTGGACTATCCTTATCTCAACCTGTGGCAGTTTCTTTCGATTCTCCTCCCCATACCTCCAGGAGCCGGGGGGAGGAAGACGAGGAAGCAAGAGAGCAGCTGCATAGCTGACCGAGTTTAAACCATGACAACAGTGAAATCAAAAGTCCTCATAGCATCCTTGCCTTGCATTTTTCAAGCAAACCAGACAGATATGGAGGCAAACCTCAAGCAAAAGGATGATACTCAAGTCAGTTCCCCACATTTCAACATCACAAGAGAGACCACCATGCAAAAGAACTTCAGAAGAAACACAAAAGCAAAGTTACCATCATATTGTGAGAACTAGGTGAGCTTTCTGGATGAAAAACAGTCATGCAGTTTTTCATAATGGGCATACATTTGCAGTGTTCATGTTTTAAAACAGCCTTTTTTTGAGAAAAATTTGAGCTGTATGGGTAATAATTCTACAGGTTTCAAAACTAAACTTGGGCCTGTGTAAACATACAAATGGCTGGATTCAGTGATTACTGCATGCTATTCCCATACAGTTAAAACTTTTTTAACTGACAGTAGCAACAGCAGGCAGCCATTTAAAAAAAATCTTAAACATTCAGTATTGTAGAATAAATTATATATTTTAACATTTAAGACAGCCACATTTTAAGAATATCTAGTCTTGTTCATTATATACTTCACAGGTTTAAAAATAAGAATACTCTACTTAAACCTGTATTTCAAAAGCTCTAAAAGTTACTTTCAGTATTAAATGTTTTACATTGATATATAGGTAACCTTTCCTCTAAATAATAAATATTACTCCTCCTTTGATTTTGCAAATGACAAATCATGGTAGTTAAGCATACTAAAAAGCTGCTTTTCTGAAACCAACTTGTTATTTAAATTAATCAACCTTCCAGAGATCAAATAAAAACATTATGATCTCTCACCAAAACACAGATTTCAGGAAACACAGGTATTACATCAACAGCTATTTAAAAGTCTTACCAACAATTAAAGCAAGTATTACCTGAAAGTTAAGGCAATGCTTGTGTACAACTGTCTATCTGCAATATTTACTATGTAAGATTACTCCCCCTCGAAGACATTGTGTTTTAATACCAAATGCATAATATATTCAATTCATTTTTAATTAACATTTTTTCTGATCAATGATTCATTCCACTACAGCAAAAGCTTTACCATCAATATGATCTCCCTCAACTTCCATAAAGTCTAAAGAAAAGAGAATTCCACACATCAAAAAGTCAAGCTAACAGCTTATATGAAAGTCCCCTTCTTTGCAAGCTTAACATTCCCCTGTACACTGCTGTATTATCAGTCCTTCATATTTATGGATTTTACATGCTATTTCTATCTTATGAAACAAGAAAATTTTCAGGCTAACCAGATATTGCATGTGGAAAAACTACAGTGCAATTTCACTTTCACTTCCATAATCTGCTGTCATTATCTCCTCATGATTTCACTCTTTATTTCCAGCATCTTAAAATCGGCAGGAATCAACAAAACTTAATTCTCCACAAGTTAAACCCATTTTAAAATTATTCTAAGCACTATAATACATTTGAAATCAAGAATTTAATCCCAATGAAGTTTCCCACAAAGCAGGTTCCGCACATTTGTCCCTTTGCCTTTTAGCAAAAAAAAGGGAAAATGACTAAAAAACTGTACATTTAAAAAATATGTATGTCAACCCCCACGTAATCATGTCTGGGAATGTTATTTGGTATTGCTTCCTCTGCTAAAGGGTTTTAATCACCTAGTAAAGAATTTGGTAACAGCTGAACAAATCATACAGACCTTAGGACTTGTATGAATGAAAACATTTTTAAAAACTGTCCAGGTGAATTATACAGAACAGTAATTCAAATTAAGTCCAAAGAAAGCCACTAAAACGTTTTCTGTTTTTCAAAGAAAAATAGTACTAGAATATCAACACAAATAGTAACTACAGCCACTTAGTTGCTACTAAATAAGAAGTCAGAAAAAAAAAAGTCTCATACATAAACATCCTTTGGGTAGTATGAGTATTTTTACTTACACCACAACATAATTAAATTTTAACTGCAATTTCTCCCCTTTTTATCAGCTGTTATCTTGGGAAAAAGATAGATCTGCTCTTTAAGATTCTGCAATTTATTTTTACAGATCTTCAAAGCAGTAATACAAAGCAATCAATAGTTCAGTTGTGTAAAAATTTCCTGATGGCCCGATGCAATTTTTACCCGTCTGTAACTAGAAACTGTATCCAATTCAACAGCTATTAGACATCATTGGGAGGGGTGGCAAAACACAGGCTGGCAGATACTGCTGCTAAGTATTAAAAAATAAAAGATTCAATGTTAACTCAGACCCAGATTCCGCAAAGCAGACTCCTGAAGTCAATAACACGGACAGAGCCCTCCCCCCACTTGTGAAAGCCATGCTTCACCAATCTGAGAACTACCAACTGAAAAATAATCCTTTGCCTTGCCCCAGAATTATAACACTTAAAACCTAACCAAACATTAGATCGCTTCCCTAACCTGGTTTACAGCATAATCCTGGTAGTGCAATGAACAGGTCTGTTGTCACAGACACTGACATGGTTTAAACCATGTTTTATCTCCAACCCCTACACAGCCATCAGAACATGGTCACAGGGCACAAAATAAGCTTTGAAACTGTTCACTAAAACGTCATCTTTACACAACCAATTAAATCAATCAATAATACATTTTGGGGAGCTGTTTCACAAAAACAGTTTTTACACTTACTGCTCTTATATTTAAATATTTTATAATAATAAAATAACAAGGTTTCCAACAGCACAGGACCTTCCCACACAAATGTTTCACCTGTGTTTGAAGGTTGAGAAATTAACACTTTCACTGGGATGGTACCTAACAATTCTCAGCATAGCTGCTCCTAATAGATTTACCATGCCAGAAGATACAACAAAGCTCACAATGAAGATACAATGAAGCAATGAATATAGTGATCATCCCCCCCCATACTCACTGTCCCTGGAAGTATTCAAAAACTGTGTAGATGAGGCTTCTAATGACATGATCTACTGATGGACTTGGCAGTCCTTCAGTAAAGGCTGGACTTGATCTTAAAGGTCCTTTCCAACCTAGCTGTTTCTATGATTTTAACACATATTAATATTGAACTATTATTAGTATTAAATTGAAGCTCAGTTGTTTACACCTGCTTAAGTTAAGGCTAGTCTAAGGTAGCACATCAAAAAGAGATCAGAACACTGCTTTTATAAAATGACAGGAAAAAAAAAATTGTATTTGCCAAAAAAGTCTGCATCCTTAACTTAGTTCAACAAACTAACTAGAGCTAGGTAACTCATTCATTCATTTAAGTGACAGCAAGTCATGAAAGTTACTATAAACAAGTAAAGGTAGATCCTCTCCCCACCCTCTAATTTCCACAAACCCAAGAAACTTTGGTAGCTGCTTTTTAAATGAATAAATTATCACTTAAAAAGAAACTTTAACTGCTCATTTTTCCAACTTTAATGTTGTATTTATATGTTACATTTTAGCCAGAAAATGCTAACGATCAACACTCAGACTTATCTTTTACTTTTTCCTAAAGTCACAAAGATGACACTCTACTTCAGTATCTTTCCTCTTGGAAAGATACGAACATTCTAGTTTTTACCTGTGACTGTCATGATACAGCACTTTTGGAATCCCTTAAACTAATAAATTCATCCAAAGAGAAAGGACAGGTAAATATAAATGCTAACCTCCTACCTGAGAGGATTAGGGAAGTTAAGGCTTTAGGGGGAGAGGGTGGAAGGGGAAAGCAGCCAGTAGTCAAGACCTTGCTGGTATGTCAGATCTGCTAGTCATTGATGTTAAGCATTGCCAAAAATCAAAAAGTACTAAACACAACAGAAAATCCCACCCAGCTACTCAATCTTTACAATAGCAGAGGCAGAT